TATATATATATATATATATATATATATATATATTTTATTTTCATTTCTTAATACAAACAAACAACAAAATATATATAACAGACAAATAACATTACAAACAATACGACAGAATTACCTTAAGATAATTGGAACAGAAATATATTATGCAAAATTTTTGTTTCATGTCTTAGAAGAGGCAGAGATTGACCAATCAAAATCTAACAAATGAAATTCCGACCACGCGGTGCGTCACTTTGCCTCCGCATTTTGTCATAATTATGTTGCATCTTGTATCTACGATGTCAGATACGAGCGTCAGTACGGGATTTTATTCATTCTTAAATCAGATTCTCTTAAAAGATTTGTAACTTGCATGTCAACATAATGTATTGCATTAATTAATAGCTGACATTCTCAACCGCTAATGCTACATCAACACTTAATGGTAGAATAATATCATTAAGCGTCACAAATGCAATGCAACACTGAGGTTTAATTAATCAAGCAAATATCGACATAGTCGACTAATGATACACACTATTCTAAATTCCTAGAGTATACATGTACATAAACACCGTCCGCTGGTGAAACCAATGGTTTTTAGCTCACCTGAGCTGAAGGCTCAAGTGAGCTTTTCTGATCACATTTTGTCCGGCGTCCGTCTGTCCGTCCATCTGTCCGTCTGTCTGTCTGTCTGAACCACTTTTCCAGGAAAGCTGAAACTTATGTGGAAGCATCCTGGGGTAGTGTGAATTCAAGTATGTTTTACATAGAAATATATAGGAAAATTCTTTAAAAATCTTCTTCTCAAGAATGACAAAGCGATATTTCATCATATTTATACGGAAGCATCCCCAGGTAATGTAGATTCAAGTTTGTTCAAATCATGACCCCCGGGGGTAGGGCGGGGCCAAAATGGCCGACCAAAGTTTTACATAGAAATATATAGGAAAATTCTTTAAAAATCTTCTTCTCGAGAATGACAAAGCCATCATTCATCCTATTAATACGGAAGCATCCTCAGGTAGTGTAGATTCAAATTTGTTCAAATCATGACCCCCGGGTTTAGGACAGGGCCAAATGGCCGACCAAAGTTTTACATAGAAATATATAGGAAAATTCTTTAAAAATCTTCTAAAATGACACGTGCATACAATGTAGGGTTTACAATTATAATGGAATATTAAGTAAAATCAATTCTGAGAATCAAAATATCTTAACTCTCCTGTAAATTAATAATACTTAACATATTAGTCTGCATTCAGACGAATTTAACATGATTAAGTACAAATGTTGACGTTTTGTTTATTGGGGTGCAGGAAAGGAAAATCCACCAAATCATACGTCATCGCGGCAAAATGTCAAACATATTAATACCTTTCTGTAGTTTCAATACAATCGCACTTCAAATTGCAATAAATTTTATATGTCATAAGTGCATTTTAACGTTGAGATTACACTGATTTTTTTCTTTGAAAGCTATGGAGAAACGAGAAATGATAGCATGTATCAACAAACCTGTAGGGTAGAACCTTCGCGAGCCCCACGTGAATGTCGCAGAGATTCCGTTTCTTCTTTATCCAATGATTTTATAAATCTCCCAACTTAATTTTTGTCAGTAAAGTTTTTTTTTAATTTCAATCCCAATTTTTGGTTTTGTTTTTCGTTTTGGTGGACTTTGTTAATGTAGCAGGCCTACCGAACTTCCCTCTCTTACCATGCTGTTTTGTTTATGAAGACTATACGCATGCGTCACGTGCGTGTATAGCATGGAATGTGGAACCTCGAACACGTTGCGATGTATATATTTATGTACCATAAATAATTATTAATTTTAATGAAATAATTAGAATTATTTACTTATAAAATTTGTAATTTTCTGAAAGTGTATACATTTATGAGTATGAAAAAAATTCCAAATCCTATAGAAAAATTTTAACAAGTCTGTTTTTGAAGAGATGCGTGATACTGCCACTTTAATTCTTCTGTCTTTTATGTACAGGAGAGGTGCCTCCATAACTTGCCATTTCGCAGGACATAAGCTTAATAGATCTTGACTAATTTTTGGATATAAAATGTAATTAAAATATTCTTTATATTGAAAAGTTCTGCTGCTTTTTGAAATCGAGGGCTTGACTTATTAGGTATAAAAAAAACTAGTTGAAGATAAATTAATATATTTTTCAACTTGAGCCCAATTATTTGAACTTTAAGAAGGATGGGTGGTTGTGACCATTTTTCAGATTATATTAGGGATGTCAACAAATATTCGAATACTCGACTATCATTCGATCATTACGACTACCGACTAAAATTTCTTTAGTCGGTTATTCATGTAAAAATGTGTTTTATCAAAGAAATTTTGAGTTCAAGGCAATAAAAATTATGTTTGCCCATTTCGTTTATTTACTATTTCTTACCCGAATATAATATGTTTTAACATACATGTAACTGGTACACCATGCATGTCTATAACATCCGTTCTCTCAATGAAGCTGAGTGAATGTAAAATAAATATTGAAAATTGAAATCTGTCAGGGTTTTTGACAGTACTACAAAAATATTATCAGTTTAAAAATTCCCGATTTTCCCTCTCTTTATTCCGTTGATTTCTTCATAGATTGCTATAGCAGTGTTTCGTTGTGTTGTAAGTTGATATATTTTACTTTTTACATTCACTAAAGCTTTTGTAATATTTTGAACCACAAAAATCTCATTTTAAGATATGTAATTATTTTGATAATTACAATAAAACATTTTGTTTAACTAAGCAGTAAAAATAAGAGTGGAAAGAAAGATAGAAAGAGATGATTTAGGTACTCTGAAAAATTCAAGTAGTTTATAAAAGGTGAAAGAAATATTTAAGATTCAAATTATACCATGTAAAATCACACAAGAATCCATCAATCTGTTTGCAACGTATTATAACAAATATTGATCTAGGCTTTAAATGCTTCACTTCAATTGTTTCCTTGTTATAAGAGGAAATCATCGACCCCTTTTCTTTAGGTGATTTAGCATTATTATGCCTATGTCTTTTCCCCAAAACAAAGTGGTATAGATTTCCGCTAAAAAAACGTGAGGCAAGAACAAGATCACAGATATGGTGGCTTTATTCCAAATAAAGTTAATTTTGACTGCCATTTTACATACTAAATATTTCAGAATTCATTCATTATTTTTTATTGGATAACTTTTCGTGATATGAAAGAAAAAAAAAACTTACCTTTAAAAAATAAACATTTGTAGTATATTTGTATAATAATATTAATATAATAATTATATAATGTCATTGCTTTCTTGAACAGAAAAAAAACGAAAATACTAGTAGTACGAGCATTGTTCCGGAAAAACTTTTTAAATATTTCATATACTATATATATTTAACCAAAACTAACATTTATTGCATGCTGTTGAAAAATGTGAATTTTGTTGTTTTGACAATATATTATAAGCCTGTGATGTCATATGCATAAAAACAGCATTAAAACGGTTAAAAATATCAGTGGTCGGCGCATGACCATTTTTGAATTTACAAAAATCATTGTCAATTAAGTTTTCTTTTTTATCAAGCTATACATATTTACAATGTATAATGTCAAAAATATTACTTACATAAGTACTCTAAAATTCATTGTTGTCGTATTTGAAAATTCATTTATTTGACATTATTTAAGACAAATATATAACGATATGTGCAAAAGTGCTTTAAATTAGACATTGTCAAAAATGGTGAAGCTGTGCGGTAATTTTGAGAACCAGATTATCAAGCAAAGCTATGTGGAGTAGGATATGACTCCTCATACATAGGGAAAAGAGTTGTTAACAATGAAAAATCACAGACACAGCTATAGGAAATAAAAATATCTTGATGAATGGATTTGAAGTTGACTTGACTAGTTATTATACGGAAAGGAAAAAAGGAGCAAAATGTCATAGACCTACTTGAAGACTGCTGTTAAAAAATTCGATCAGTTAGGTTTATGATCGGGATTGTGAAATTATCTACTGTGAGAATTTATTCAGCACTTTTTTGTACAGGATTTAAGATGTATAAGATAACGAAACGCAGTGCCGAATTTTTGCATTATTACTGCAAGTTGTATAATTTTCAGAATTTTTCAGATTGATCCACTTTCATTTTTCCTGTTAGGATTTTCATTGTTTGCCTATGACCTGAAACCCTCGTATAGAATTTCAATAATGGAAAATGTACTCTCTAAATTCATATTCAATTTCCTTTCATTTACGTTTGCTAGTAATGTTACTTAGTCTTTGGGCATACATGTTATGAAGTAGATGACGAAGGATTGTCTTTGTTATCCAGCTCCAATGTAGGTGACTTCCCCGGTCTTGTGCAATAGACAAACTCCATAGCAAAAACACCTAAGCGAATCATTTGGCTGTTGCACATATCGATTTCCGATGACTTCCTTTAGCATTTTGTACAATCGTTGTAATCGGCATTGCTTATACATGTATACAATAGCTCGATATATCCAGAAAAACATTTGAAGTGTACGCTTTTTAAGTAATTATACAAGTCTCTTATGTATTTCCTAAATAAGAGGCATCACTTCATTCTCAAAAAACAGTTTTTCTGTCGTCAGCATTTACTAGATATATGTATGAATTGATTAATTGAACATTCAGGTAATGGCTGCCCTGCTGGACCTGACCTGCATTGCTACTTAATTCCTTATGCTCATACCATTTCCTTTCCTTGGTGTTAACTTTGCAATAAACAACAGTTGAATGGTTTTCATTGAATTTATTAAAGACTTGAAAAACATACATGTACAATCTTGTATCATTCATAACTGTGATGGACAAAAAGGGAATTGGCATTACATGTAATAGGCTGCATTGCATACAATAAAGAATAGTGTCCGGAAGGACAACTGGCATATCGACTAAAAATAAAGTACCGGGCAAACCCAGTGGCCCTGTGTTGGTCACAGGTGCCTAGGATCCCAAATTTATGTACTAGACATTTGGGCCCGGGAGAGTTGCGAGCACATCTAAATACCCTGTTTCCGGTTATTGCTTCTGGTCAGCAGTACTTTAACACAGAAGTACTCCAGTACTAAGCCTCTCCTACAGTTACAAGAGGTGGAGGGGGCCCAGCCCTGCATACGTGGCTACTATTATATATGAATTTATTATTTTTGTTCAGTAACATATACTATCAATCATGATATCTGTACTATGTGCAGGTGTATCTTTAGAATATATCAGAAGTCTTATGACTTAACCACTGTGACTTTCGTGGGTATTCCTGACCCACGAATTTACATCCCCTCGAGCAAATAAACTAATATAAGTTTTAATATTTATTAATGATTACAATTACACAGACTATTTTATATCGTAAAATAACTTTTGCTTCTGAGTGATCGCACATAAAGAAGACAATCTTTATGTTTCCAAAAATGTTTCGTTACGTATCAAAGACATCGATAACTCTATACAATAATTATTAAAGAGATAAAAAAAAAATTGAAGTCACAAAGTGTTATTGATTTATAATAAGGCATTAATAAGGGGAAAACATTTTTAAGCATGTAAAATTGTAAATGCCTGATATATATTATGTTTTTGAGGTCAATACGATGATTTGCTCACCTGCAGAGTACATTATTCACCGAACTCGTAGGGTGGGGTAAATATAGTACTCATCAGGTGGTTAAATCATTATATTGACTTGAAAAACACCAATAATTATTTTAATTATTACATGACTCAATGATTAATTAAATGATACAACTCCTTATATGTTGGTAAATAGAGAAGCAGACTTAAATTGTAAATTAACGTCACCTGTCGTATAAATTTGAAATGTTTAAAATATATTATAAAGTAGTTGCCATGAAAAAAAGTAAAATGTCAGACTCTTTTATGTGATCGATTTTGCAGGATTTTCAGGGAGATCTGACAGCTTAAGAAAGTAAAAATGTTTGCTTAAAAAGTATCTAAGGGAGATGGGGGTGGTCCTGGCATCCCCACTTACCATCCCACCTCAAACAATGTATTCGCCTAATGTTATGTTTACCTGAGTTTACATGAGTAAAGCAGTAAAGGTAGGTTGCAGGTGTATAGCTTTCCAAAACTATTTGTATCAATTTGGAATTTCATGATCTATTTTTAGATCAATATAGAGAAAATAAATCCTTATAGCGGTATTCTTCTGGAAGTCATATGCATTTAAATATATCGATGTATTTTTTTTCTATATAGTTGGATCTCAGCCGATAAAAATGATAGGAATTATTCAATCATAGAATAAAGAGTGTATATAGTTTAGTAGCAGTACTAATTGTTTTTGGTTCCCCTTTGATTTTGATGACTTTGGAACATTTTTCTTCGACAAGAAGAAGGGACATAGCGTCCCGAAAATTACACAATTTTTTTTCAACGACATGAACAATGAAAATTGTCAAATTTTCGGGACGAGAGAGAGAGTAGGAAGAGCAAATATGTATCTGTATATAAGATACTGATGTTTTATTACCTGCAATAACTGTTGAACAGTTTGGAATAATTTCACAATCCAATGGACATCCAACCGTCACATTGCAATATCCTTCTGTACACTTGCACGTCCTCTGACATCCAAATCCATATCCAGGATAGGGACAAGGATACAAACAAGCTGGACCACCGTACCCGATTTTACATTCTGCATGAAGCATATTAAGATAGTATAAATTTTTTGTTCAATATGTTAATATGATTTTTTAAAAATATTTTTAAATATTGGTTTTTAGTGCCAGTGTAGATATGTAAGTTAACATTCCATGCATTATTTCTTTGATTGTACCCCTAACAGAGCTTAAAGCTATTCACTTTTCGTAAAAAGCATCCGCCATAATCGACCCGACTCTCACTATACCTGGGGAACCTTATGTATACAGAGCAGCTCACTTAGTCACTGTTAAGTGCAATCTATTTTTATCGTAGTAGAGACGGAAATATGCTCTACAGCATTCATAGGGACCAAAAAATAATAATGTACTTCTTCTAATAAGAAAGTTAGAAAATTCAATATGGGTATACAGTGTAACTGCAACAAAATGTAAACAAAGTTAATGCAAGATAACCAGCACAAACACGTGTAGAGATATCTGTGACAATAAAGCAGTCAAGTTTAGTAAATGCATAGAGTGTACATCGGTGCTGATATCGTACATACATGTTGTAATATCAAAAATAGCATATACATATTCTCATTTTGTGTTCGACGTTTAATATGATATGGATGGAGAGTATTGTCCATAAATCTTTTTAAGGCCTCTTGTACATACATGTAGTTAGTGTAAACAAATCTAAATTTTTTTGATGTTTTGTTTTACAGAAAGACTCAATGAGTTAGATGAAATATATGGAAATAAGGAACATTATTAATGCTCAAAAGTCTATAAAACAATACATAATAACATCAGAGGTGCGATCATATGCCATATAGGAGTAAACGTATGTACGAGACCGGTCACAAACGTGCATATCATGATTGGAAAATAACAGGAAATCCATTGTCAATTTAGTGGGTAAACAATGGATTAACAATTAATACGAAAAATTTCAGTCAGGTTTGACTCAGTGGTATAACAGTATTACATATAACCATTATATCTAATAGTTTGTATCATTATATATATACTACTGTACTTACATTTCTACTATTAAATCAAACTATTGTATTAGATCAAACTGTATTTGATGACAATGTCATTGTATCAACCAATGATGGCTTTAAACGAGACTATTGTTTCTATTGTTTCATAAACATGTTTGTCAATAGTATACCTCGTGATAGAAATTGTACATACGTAGATCATGTTCTTGCTTAAGGATTTACATCCCTAATGGGACTTAATTCCCTACCCTTAAATGTCCGTCAAGTACATAATACACTGATATTATATTAAAGCATTTTATAGTGGAAAACGATTGCCCGCGAGAAAGTTTTAAAAATTAATTAAGCAAAACATGTAGTTAATTTAAAAAGATTGCATTGAAGTCTATGGGGAAAAGTGTGTTTTAAAAAAAAAAAAAAAAAAAAATTGAATATAAATAAATCCTGCGGTGGAAAGATGCATTTAAATATTTAAAAAAGAATGACAATTGAAAACAATCTTTTTTAGCGGCTTAAGTTTTTAATGGACTTTTTTATTAATCAAGAAAAGGGGAGATAACTCTTACCAGAACTCAAGGTCATAAATTAGGACACATCCCACTATACAATTACTAATAGTAATAAAGGGAAATATGTCTAAATAATCTGAGTATTCAATGCCTACATATCAGTTATATATTCAATTTCACTGAATTTGTTCCCATTAGGGAATGAATTGAGTCAGCTGAGAGATATAAACTCTGTATAAAGGTGATGAAGATACATTGCTGCATTAGTTAGCGTAAATGGTGAATTAAAGAGGTAAAGTCGTCACATTTATCATAGAGCTTGGCTGTTAGACATTCTCAAATAAAATACCAAAATATACCAACATAGATGTATCAGGCTCTGTGGTATCTTTTAACTCAAGCTCACCAGGGTATATCGTATCGACATAGAAATGAAAATAATCATGAGATTGTTAATTGACAATACGTCATAGATATATCTAAAAATTATCTTTATCATTTACTGTAGAAGTACTTTTTCCCACGGGGACATAATTCCGCAGAATCTCAAGTTCTTTTAATCTTTCTTAGACTGTTATTTATGCCTACATTTATATTAAGTACACTTGAGCAAATTTCCGCAAAAATGTTGTGACCACGTACATATATAGCGTACATACGCGAGTTTCGAGATTGTAATTCTCCTACGATGGAGGTGCAAACAGTATCCATTTCAGCATGGAGGTGGGACAGGTTGCTTCTGTGTACAAACGTGCATGAATAAATGAACTATATTTATGGCTTTCAATATTTATTAAATTTAATAGAAAGGTATTGATATTAAGCAGTGAGGCATTTGATGATTTTATCAAGCTCAACTTTGCACATTCGCAATTTTACTTTGAATTATAGGTTGCTTGAAAACGAAAGAAACGTTGTAGTCTTTATAAAATGTAACCAATTTTCTTGATTGTATAAACATTTTCTAAACAATTAGTGTGTTTTAAAAGTTATAATTTAATGTATAATGTAATTTAAATTGCTGATGTGCAATGATCAGATGCATGTATTTTTTAGAGGTCTAGATCTCTTCTCTCGTCTAAAAAGTCTCACATACACTGATGTTTTCTTTTTTCTTACGATTTTTTTGCCTTAAAAATTGATATCTTGACATTATAATTCGGTTACTCTTGAGTTGTAGAGTGCATCCTGAGAATCATGAAGTGACGATAAACCAGTAGATTATTTGTATCGATATATCCAATATATAAATAGCAAGCTAATTCAGAGAATTTGTGTCCCCCGCTTAGGGAAAAAGTAAACCATGCTCAGGGGGGTGGGGTGGGGTTCGGACCCCCTTGTCTGAATTTGTAGAATTATAAAACGTATACTGAAGCAAATAAAATATGCCAATATGGATATAAAGGTTTGATTGATTATTCTTTATTATGTGTGTAGATGATTCTTTTGATATGAAATATTTATCACACTGTAATGATGATTTTATGAGTTGTACAAGGCAGAACTCATAAATTTTTCATTTTACATGTTGAATACTATCATTTAGTAAAATAAAAAGTGTTTAGGAAAATAATTGGATTTTCCAGGATGCGAACCCTGGCCCTCTGACATGTGAAACGAAAGACATACCACTTGACCACGGAGCTGCGTTAACTAGGCGAAAATTATATACAAACATTAAGTCACATACATGTATATATTCACGTTGATATATTGTCAAAATTTAACACAATGCATTGTGTCTAATGTAACCTTTATCAAACAGTTTTAATAGATGTAATAAAAATAAAAAGTCCGCCGAGAACCTGTTTTATACGTATAACGTAACAATTCTCCTTCATGCCTGTGTGCTAAAAAAAGCGACATATAATACAACAGTACAAATAAAACAAACGGGGCGGGGCACTTTGAGAGGGGTAAGAGAGATTCTAAGGATTTTTGGTATAAAATTACATTGCAAAAGCTCAACATCCTCTTGAAATATCGCCAGAAAACGATAGTGTTACATACAAACAGAATGTTTACATTAATGTCCTTGAAGTTTGACCTTTTGACCTCAAAATCAAGAGGGGTCTTTCGTAAGCCGCAGGGAGTTGTGATGTAAAATTTCATTGCAAAAGCTCAAAAGGTTCTCTCGAGATATTGCGCGGAAACGAAAGTGTTATAACAGACAGAATTTGCTTATTTATGACCTTGACCTTTGAACTTTTAACCTCAAAATCAATAGGGGATTTCTTTAGTTCATAGGGAGTTGCTATGCAAAATTTCATTGCAAAAGCTCAAAGGGTTCTTGAGATATCGTGATGAAACCAAACCGTTACAGACAGACAGAAAGACGGACGAACGGACAGACCCAAATTAATATTCCCCACTTTTCAAGCAAGGGACAATAAATATCTGCCCCACCTGTCTGTTTCCGCGGCAACGAAACTCCCCTCCTAAACGAAAAAGCGCAACAAGGGAGTTAATCTCGAAACTTGCGTATTAAAACCACGCGGAAGAAATGTACTTCTACAGTATTACAGGATTTCTGATTGGCTCAAACTTATTCATATGACTAAGTATATAACAGCATAATTAATTGAATCACCATTTATAGAATCTGAAATACATATCGACTTATCAATTATAATTTTCTGTATTGAGTCCAGGCTTGTTGATATCATGGACAGCTGCTTTTTTAATAAAAAATGGAACTTGTAATTTTACTTACCTGGTCATTGGTCACTTGCAAAATTATTTTGTTTAAATGCATTATGATTGCACACACAAGTACTTTGAGCATCAAAGAGATGCTTGAGTTTTTGATTGACAATATCTACGTGGTTTTTGGAAACCAGATATTCCAACAATCTATTGGAATTCCCATGGGTACCAATTGCGCTCCGTTATTAACGGACCTACTTTTATATTTACATGAAGAAGAATTTGTGCAAAATTTTATGCGTGAAAAGAAGAAAAGACTTGTTGTGGCCTTCAACTCGACATTTAGATATATCGACGACGTATTGTCAATTAACAATGGTGATTTCCATTCCTACTTCGATACGATATATCCTGGTGAGCTTGAGATAAAAGATACCACAGAGTCTGACACATCTGTTTCATACTTGGATATTTTATTTGAAAAAGGCATTAATGATAATCTAACAACCAAAATATATGATAAACATGATGACTAACTTTTCTATCGTCAACTTCCCATACTTATGCAGCAATATACCTTCGTCACCTGCATACGGAGTGTATATATCTCGGTTGATTTGATTCGCGAGAAATTGTTCTGCGTATGAACAATTTCTGAAACGAGGTAAATAATTGACAAGCAAGTTGGTGAAACAAGAATATCAACCGTCTAGTTTAAAGTCATCATTTTGTAAGTTCTGTGGTCGACACAATGACCTTGTCAGCAAATACAATTTATCAGTGAGTCATATGCTGACTGACCTTTTTCATATCAATTTAATATTAATATTAATTTAATATTAATTCCATTATTTATGCCCTGAATTGACGACGGTTTTTTTTCCCGTTATTTCCTGACACGGCGGATGTGATCGGTCAGCAGGGTATGCTTACTCCTCCATGGCACCTGATCCCACATCTGATGTTTCGGAGGTCAGTGTTTGTCCTGCTCTTATTTTGTTTTGTTTTATGGATTTTGAGATTGAATACTGTTCGTTATCTCCATATCCTTCTGTAAAGCAAAAAAGTACTGATTTCAAAATTATAGCTAATACAGTGTATGACTTGATGTTTCTGAAAAGATATACGTACTTAATCTTGTATTTACATTTTTTAATGTTCTGTAATTGATGAGATGTACCAACATAATGAATAAGAAACTACTTTATATTAAATTATATTGAACATGTTTATCAAAGTTTATACAAATATATGTATTATTTTTAATACATTCGCTATACTGTCGCTAAATTGTTTGATATTTTCTTCGGAGTTGGTTTGCTTTCTTTCATTGCTTTATTTGGAGATCATGAGACAGAAAAAAAACTTTTATAACACAAATTTTACTGAAATTATATTGTGTTCTATTTTATTATCATTTAATTATTGTTAAATAGGAAATTTATGCTGAATTTAACAAATGTAACAAAAATGTGAGCTTAATTTACATATTACATAAAAATAGGGTACCGAAGGTACAATATGTCTTGCAATATAATGTAAAGCAGTAGTTGTTATAAGTATCGGTATAAACTCAAAACAATGCACCTACTAATACATTCCTCCAGATTGGGATCATAACGAAATCCTCTGCAACAACCCCTAAAATGAGGTAAAACCAATGAAGTATGCATGTCAAACATTATGTTGCGTCTACATAATTATAATCTTACAGACGAGTATGTCCTCAAGTAAGAAAATCAATACTCGTTGAGAAGAAAAGGCAAAATATTTGCCGCCACAATTCAAACATATCAAAAAGGATCTACATGTTAAATTATCGTTTGTTGAAAGAAATTGTTTAAATTTGTCTAAGTCTTTAATCTTTAAAACTACAGCATGTTCAAAATACTCACCTTGGTCTAGAACATTCTGAAGATGTTGCATCAATCTGATATTCGACACTGAACATTAGTATTAATATGATCACACCCATTACATCTGTTTTTATAAAAATAATGATTTGAAATTGTTTTGATCAGATTTTACGTTAAGCAGTTGATTTTCGCTGAACACAAACATATTTCCAACACTTGTGAGACCTTCCTGAGAGTTAACAACATAATTATATTGGTTCTTCCTGAGTAGTGTGTTCTATGAGTGAACGAACTACCCATTAAATTACAGATAAAGGAACAAGACCTTGCAAAAATTTCTTTGTTTAAAAATATACTAAAATTTATTAAAATAATACTTTTAGAAATCTTACTTCAATATATAAAAAGAAAGTCGTGTTACAAAACAGAAAAAATGTGTTCTGGTTAAAGTCTTACATAACGCAAAACAATATTAAGGAATTTAAACATCTCAATTTTTGTAAGTTTTAATGAGCATCTATGTAGATGACAAAAACTAAAATTTCTGCAGAATGAGAAAGATTGTGTTTTGAGGGGATTCAAATCCTTTTAGAGAAGAAATATTATAATATTACTTAAACATTTCATGAAGCACATAAATTCGAAGGTCCTGTTAATCAAGATACGTCACGAAAGTTATCCCCCCCCCCAAGACACACACAAATACACAGAAAATTCAAAGTACAAAAAAATAAGGCATCATTTGGAAGCATCTATCGGAATACAAATACAGGTTTGTCGAGAAATCAAATTAAATTTAATACCAACCTGTTTTTTGGAGCTATAGATGTTTCAAATTGGTATTACTGATATTTACATGCAATATAAAATATTTGTCTCATTTTGACATTTAATAAAGGTGTGCAATGATTTTATTTTTCAAAATCAGGGTATATATATAATCAAATGAATGTGCGTCGATCCTTTATGACTTCAATGAGAAATTAAATTGGATGTTAATGACGTTTAAGAAATTTGAATTTATATGGGTATAAATATACATTACTTTCATGGAGTTGTGTTATATAAAGGAAAACATTTTCAAATGTAAATATTACGAAATATAGAAATATATATTGTTTGATATATTCAGATTTTTTAATTCAATCTGTATATTTCGTGGAGTAAAGTGGGATCAGGCATTTTATTTTGCAACGTTTTCCTGACCTCAATACAATGAATTGAACGCGAGCAATGAAAATGTTCTAAACAAAGTCTAAAATTGTTACCACTCTTGTCTTTAAAGTATTTTGCATTTCGTAAACACTTTCCGGCTTGATTAACACCAATCTCTTATCGTGGTACATAAACATTTTATAAAAAAAAATAATGGCTTGACAATACTTATTTATATATACAATTTTCAATAGCATTTGGTTATTGAAACGATCAATGCAAGTTTATTTGATGAAGAACGCGACCTTTTTATGGAATCGGGAAGTACATGTTCAATTTTCATAAGGAAGTATTAAGTGCATTGAATCAAAATGGTCAAAAATGAAACAGAATGTGAAAGTGTGTGTCTAATTTTGTTACAAAATGTGTCAAACTCAGGATGAAAAAATTAAAGTCACTCAAATATGAACTTGATTTGTTATGATATCAAATCACGTGTTGCCAAAAGTACCTTTCAGTAGATTTGATCACTTAAATAACCAATTTCATTCCCTAAAAAGTTTTTGATCTTGCTATACATGTAATGTCACTTTTATTCATATTTGTTTTTTTTAATACATCAACTGTCGTTTCAATCTTGGTGACTGCTTAATTGTGTTATTAAGGAAAAAAGAATTTTTAAAGAAAAAATTCTTCTTTTCCTTTCCTATCTTTATATATCCTATCTGTATATAAAGTAACAAATATTATTAAATTAATAGAAATAGGAAGCTCTTAAGGTAGATTGCGGGTTTGCTGACGTCACAATAGAATTTGATGTTAAAATATTCCTGTGCTTGGAATACAAAACTGAAAATAAGCAAAAGGTATCTTCAGTAGTATTCAGTATAAAAAATAAATCCAAAAACACACAAAATACCCTCATAATTATAGGCTTGATACATTGTTTTTGTAGTTTGTTGTTTCTGAACATTACAGCATTTTTCGACCCAAAATTTTACTGATGAAATATCTTTTATATACATGTAACTGTTTACGTCCTATAATATGATATGATTGCCACAACATTTCGTTTTGTCCATTTTGACAAATATCAGAGAAATTTTGCGACTTTTTACTATATGCTACTTATTATGTCTAAATGTATACTAAGTCTTGTATATATATATATGTAAAATCAGAAATCAGTTTTTGTCTATAGTTTTTATACCCGCACTTTCTAAAGAAAGTTCGGGTATATTGTTGTTACTCATGTCCGTCCGTCCGTCCGTCCGTCCGTCTGTCACACTTTTCCTCCCATGAACTCTTCCTACATTTTACACAGTAGCTAAATCATCTTTTAAGAGATGGTTGGTGGTGTCATGTAGATGTGCAGTAAGGTTTCGGAATTTTGATTTTGCCCCGGGGGGTCAAATGGGGGTCGAAAAATGACGTTTTTTGTGCAAAAAGTCCCTTCTTCCCTGAACTCCTTCTACATTTTACTCAGCAGCCAAATCACCTTTTGGGGGATGATTGGTGGTGTCATGTAGATGTGCAGTAAGGTTTCGGAATTTTGATTTTGCCCCGGGGGGTCAAATGGGGGTCGAAAAATGACGTTTTTTATGTAAAAAGCCCCATCTTCCCTGAACTCCTCTTACATTTTACTTAGCAGCCTAATCATCTTTTGTGGGATGATTAGTGGTGACATGTAGATGTGCAGTAAGGTTTCGGATTTTAGATTTTGCCCCGGGGGGTCAAATGGGGGTCGAAAAATGACGTTTTTTGTGCAAAAAGTCCCGTCTTCCTTGAACTCCTTCTACATTTTACTCAGCAGCCTAATCACCTTTTGGGGGATGGTTGGTGGTTTCATGTAGATGTGCAGTAAGGTTTCGGAATTTTGATTTTGCCCCGGGGGATCAAATGGGGGTCGAAAAATGACGTTTTTTATGCAAAAAGCCCCATCTTCCCTGAACTCCTCCTACATTTTACTTAGCAGCCTAATCATCTTTTGGGGGATGATTAGTGGTGTCATGTAGATGTGCAGTAAGGTTTCGGAATTTTGATTTTGCCCCAGGGGGTCAAATGGGGGTCGAAAAATAACGTTTTTTATACAAAAAGCCCTGTTTTCCCTGAACTTCTCTTACATTTTACTCAGCAGCCTAATCATCTTTAAGAAGATGGTTGGTTGGGTCATGTAGATGTGCAGTAAGGTTTCGGAATTTTGATTTTGCCCCGGGGGTCAAATGGGGTCGAAAATTGATGTTTTTTATGCTAAAAGACCTGTCTTCTCTGAACTCCTCTTTCATTTTACTCAGCAGCTTAATCACCTTTTGGGAGATGGTTGGTGGTGTCATGTACATGTGCAGTAAGGTTTCGGAATTAAGATTTTGCCCCAGGGGATCAAATGGGGGTTGAAAAATAACGTTTTTCATACAAAGAGCCCTGTTTTCCCTGAACTTCTCTTACATTTTACTCAGCAGCCTAATCATCTTTAAGAAGATGGTTGGTGGGGTCATGTAGATGTGCAGTAAGGTTTTGGAATTTAGATTTTGCCCCGGGGGGTCAAATGTGGGTCGAAAAATGACGTTTTTTGTGCAAAAAGCCCTGTCTTCCTTGAAGTCTTCCTTAAATGTTACTCAGAAGTCTAATCATCTTTTAGGAGAGTTAAATATTTTGAAAATTATGTAAAACATCAACGTCAAGGGGTAACAAGATGTGTTTGTGAAACACTATGCGCCCGGCGTCAACAAAGTTCGAAAAAGCTATTTTTAGCATATAGGTCACAGTCAAGGTCACAAGGTCATTGACTTTGATGTTGTTTGTAAGAACTTAATTAGTGGGGTATGCATACTAAATATGAAGTCCCTATCTCCTATGGTTCAAAAGGTATGGCAAAAAGTGGAAAAAGCTATTTTTATCATATAGGTCACAGTTAAGGTCACAAGGTCATTGGCCTTGATGTCATTTGAAGGAACTTTATTAGTGCAGTATGCATACCAAATATGAAGTCCCTACTCCTAAGGTTCAAAGGTTATGGCAAAAAGTGGAAAAAGCTATTTTTAGTATAAAGGACACAGTCAAGGTCACATGGTCATTGACCTTGGTGTTGTTTGAAAGAACCTTTTAGTGGAGTATGGATACCAAATATGAAGTCCCTATCTCCTATGGTTCAAAAGTTATAACAAACAGTTGAAAAACCTATTTTTAGCATATAGGTCACAGTCAAGGTCACGAGGTCATTGACCCTGATGTCATTTGAAAGAACTTTATTAGAGGAGTATGCATACTAAATATGAAGTCTCTATTTCTTATGGTTCAAAAGTTATAACAAACAGTTGAAAAACCTATTTTTAGCATATAGATCACAGTCAAGGTCACAAGGTCATTGACCTTGATGTCATTTGAAAGAACTTTATTAGAGGAGTATGCATACCAAATATGAAGTCTCTATCTCTTACGGTTCAAAAGTTTTGGCCAAGGTTAAAGTTGACAACAGACAAACAGATAAACAGACAAACAGACAGGACAAAAACAATATGCGCCCTGAAAAAATTCGGGCGCATAAGAAAACATCGCATGCTGGGAAACACCTTGAATTCTTATGAGTAATTTATGTACAGGTCAAATGTGAGAGTCATATCTCATCTCAATCATAAGTTATAAGCAAATGCAACATTTTTGAAAAGTAGGTTAGGCTTGATCACTTCAAGGTCAAGGTCACAGTGTTAAAGTCATGATTTATTTGGAAAGGTCTTATCACAGGTAATAATATACATGCATTATGATATGAATGCCCTAACTTTTCTCTTTCAAAATGATGAATTTATAACCATTTTATTTTTTTTGCAAGTTGGTCAAACTTCTAGGTCACATGTAAAAAAAAAAACCATGCCATTCTCACAGGTAAATATACTAATACATAAGTTTAATATGAATGTCTCTTCTCATTCACTAGATATGACCGTGATAACCAAGGTTAAATTTATTGAGACAGATGGACTGAGTCTGACATACAAATGTACATATTTCTATATGAATTGGGTAAAATTGGCCCAGTGGTTCTAGAGAAGTTAAAAATGTAAAAAGTTTTCAGACAAACAGATGGACAACACGTCACGACAGACATTATATGCTAAGGAAACCAAAAAAGCTCAAATGAGTGTTTTGAAAGGGTTACAATATGGTTGGAGTATTTCAAAAGCTGTTTTTTTTTCCTGCAGAGATATGCATGACCAACATATTCATGTTTTATATTTTCTTTAGTGATTTGTTTGTTTGTTGTGAATACATCTTCCCTCTTATGGAGACACCACCAAATAATAATGAAGATAAGATGTGTTTGTGAAACACTGATGTCCCAGTATGGAAGCCTATGGCGAAGGTTGAAGTTTCTCAAATATGTGTCAAAATCAAAGGTCAAGGTCAAAGGGTTCAAATTGTTAGTATCAGAAGAAAGTCTTGTCACAAGGAATGCACATGTGAAATAAAGAAATCCCTAGTAATTCCTGTTCAAAAGTTAATTGCCAAGGTTAATTTTTTTGTTTAAGTGGTTCAAACTCTAGGGTCAAGGTCAAACATATTTATACCTGTTGACAGTTCACAATGAATACAATATGTCATGATAAGTATGAAAGCCCTAGCACCTACTGATCAAAATTTAGGCAGAGTTTAAAGTTTGGTATTTTTCTTGTAAAAATGTGTATCCTATGTCAAGCGATCAGAGGTAAAAATTAATGGTACCCAAATAAAAGGTCTTATTAAATTGTCACAAGAAATAAACCTATAAAATGTGGAAGCTATTTGTATAGCCCATCCCACTTAAAACTTATGGGCA